TCATACAGGTTTGAAAAACATTTAAAGACTATCTTGAATATTTCTTTACAGGTGTCATACAAAAGGACAAAGAATGCAAAAGTTCTAAGGAAATAGAAGGAAAAAATATAGGTAAACAAGAGTTACAGTAAATTTTAACTGGAATTATAGTAGCATTACACTGTAATTGAAATACATACTTAGTGTAATATTAAAATTATTTTGAAAGAATTATACAAACTAATTCATTTGTTCACTTCACTGTCTATAATCAAGTATCAAATTGATTGTAGTTGGATTTTTAAGTAGTTACAGTTTCTGTTTACTGGAATTATAGTATAATTTCTCTGTAATACAAATATATGTTCACTGTAAATGGACTTATGAAAAAGATTGGGAAATACACTCTATGTTTCAGAACTTGCTGGTTTAGAAATTCAAAAGTTCTTTGCAATATTAATTTATTCTTTCTATGCAGGTGGCATACAAAAGGAGAAACAAAGCAAGAGTTCTATGGAAATAGAAGAAAAAGAATCAGGTGAACAAGATAATTTCAAATTTTATTCACAAATAAGAAGATTAAAATGAGTCTGAAATTTTTTAAAAAAATGCCATCAGATATAAAAAAGCACTTCAAAGCTCTGACAGAAATGGATACAGAGATTATAAGTCAATCAAATCTGACAGAAATTAACACAGCTATGTTGAGCTCAGGTAAGAAACAAAAAATTATGTAGTTCAATGTATTTTTTAAAAAATGACAAACATCTAGATGATCTGAACTATATACTTTCAAGTGGGTACTTTTTAAAATCTAAAAACATTAAAACTAGTTACAGAGAAGAAGTAATAAAAATACATGTAACAATAACTGAAAATACAGTATCTATCTTGACTTCCTTCATAATGATTTTTATTTTGCAGGTATCACAATTGAATTGTCAGAAGGAGAAAGAAGTATTCAGTCAAAACAAATTCAGAATATGAAACAAAGTATTTTGACAGAGTATAAAACAACTTTTGTAAACTCAGGTAAGATCTTACACAGGTATTCTTATTCTGTTTCAGAACAATTCTTTCATTACAGTTAATTTGTATAAAAATTACATAAAAAACTGTAATTCCAATACTAAAAATTTCAAACTGGAATACAAATTTACTCTAATTTTTAATGTTGAATCAATCAATCTATTGCAGGCATAATAGGTAATGAGGTAGGAAGAAGCAATGCTCTGGATGAACCAAACACAGGTAACAATTCAAAATGGAATTGAACAAATGCATAATTCCTTTAGTAAAAAAACACAAAATGCAAAAATTACAGTCAATTTGAAACAGAATAAGAATAATTTTAAACTTCAACTTGATTGTTATACAGTTTGACTGGAACCTATATATAATTTGATCACAATTACTTTAATTGCAAATATAACAGATCATATTGGATTAGGAGCAGAAGATGCAACAGTAGAAAAGCAAAGTATGGATAATTCAGCAAGTATGACAGAAGCATTTGTTGATTACAGCAACAAATATTCATATGATGAATTATCTCTTTTCGGATCAATGAATTCAGTAAGTTCATATTACAAAGTTTTTGCTATTAAAGGAAAAATTTGAAGGTGGTAGTCAAAATACTATATGAAAATTTATTTGCAGGTTGCAAATATGTCATACACAAGCTTAATGGAACAAATCATATCATCACAGCCTACGATTTCTGATATGCAGGTAAGAAAAACAATATTTGAATATTATATATAATTTAGTTGTAATATTTATGTTTTTATTGGAATTTACAGGAACAAAATTCAGCACACTCTATTTTTGTTGCGAGTCCAAGTGCATTTCAGGTATGAAATATTAATTATTTAATTGAATCTAATAATTCAAATTCAAAAGCAAATAAGTATTGATATAAAAATTTTGTTTTGCAGAATTCAATGATATTAACAACAAATCGTACTGATGCTAATATTGAAGAATGGAATAATGATGCGGCAAATGAGGCATGTTGTCTTGGATGTATTACTTCTTGTTGTAGTATTAAAAATTATGATAATTTTAGTAAATTTTAACTTTGTAATGTAATTCAAATTCCAGGAAGATGAGAGTAATGAAGAGGATGCAATGGATAATTGGAATCTTGATATATTCAATTTGTTAGATGGTGAAAAGGTAATTTTTGTTGTTTGTACCTTTTTCTCTAGATAACAATGATTGATGATTGAAGTTTCATAGTCTGCAAAAAAAAGAGTACAAACATTAATATTTCTTAAAAAATTAAATTGAATAATTCAGATTAGCAATGAATAGGCTAGAAAATTAATTTCAGAAACTAATGGAACTGCTTTTTTTTTTGCAGGAACCAAGTTCAATGGATAATCATCGATGTACTTCAGTTCAAGGAACAAGAGATGATGACAATAATCCAAATGATAACTCTGAAACAAATCAACAAGAGCTGATAGAAGAAGACATAAATATTTTCGTAGAGAATGAACAGGAAGAAGCTACAAAGGGCAATAATGCAGCAATTGATAGCAGATATATACCAAGAGTTGGAACACAATTTAAGAATATTACAGAAGCACATGAATTCTTTAACTTCTATGCTCTGTTGGCTGGATTTTCTATTGTCAGGGCTCACAACTACCACACAACAAGCAAGAAAAGGAATGGAGAAGTGACTAGAGTAACGTTCAGATGTAATAGACAAGGCAAACCAACTTCTCAATCCAAATCAGTAAGCGCAGAGGAAACAGTGGTTTCGGAAAGAAATACAAATGAAAATGATGCAACAGATTGCAAGTGTGCTCTGGTTATTTCAGAGAGGAATGAGATTTGGAATATTTCAAGGGTGCAATTAGACCACAATCATCAACTAAGTCCAAGAGATGAAGTGAGATTTCTCAAATCACACAAACACATGACTACAGAAGAAAAAATGCTCATAAGGACCTTGAAGGAATGTAATATACCAACAAGGCACATGATTGTGATTTTATCTGTTCTAAGAGGAGGATTGACTTCTTTGCCTTATACGAAGAAAGATATAAGCAATGTGAGAACCACAATTAACAAGGAGACAAGCAGCAATGATATAATGAAAACTTTAGAATTTTTCAGAAGGAAAAAAGAAAAAGATCCACATTTCTTTTATGAGTTTGATTTGGATGAGAGCAAGAAAGTGAAAAATCTGTTTTGGACAGATGGGAGATCGAGGGAGTGGTATGAGAAATATGGTGATGTTGTGAGTTTTGACACAACATATTTCACCAACAAATACAACCTCCCGTTTGCTCCCTTTGTTGGAATTTATGGACATGGAAACACAATTGTTTTTGGTTGTGCATTTTTGCATGATGAGACTTCAGAAACATTTAAATGGCTGTTCAGAACTTTTTTGAAAGCTATGTCACAAAAAGAACCAAAAACAATCATTACTGATCAGGATGGAGCAATGAGATCAGCAATTGCTCAAGTATTTCAAAATGCAAAGCACAGAAATTGCTTCTTTCATATTGTAAAGAAAGCTTTCAATCTATCTGGAAATTTGCTCAAAGCAAAAGAAGGGTTGTATGATGAGTATGAAGACATTATAAATAACTCAGTTACAGAAGAAGAATTTGAGTATTTATGGCAAGAAATGATTGACAGCTTTGAAGTTCAGCATATCAATTTTCTAAAGCACATGTGGTCAATTAGAAAAAGATTTATTCCAGTGTATTTCAAGGGTGATTTCTGTCCATTTATAAAAAGCACAGCTCTCAGTGAAGGGACTAACTCAAGGTTTAAGAATAATGTTGGTCCACAGTACAGCATTACAAACTTCATGATAGAGTATGAAAGAGTAATGGATACAATTCAAAACTTGGAACAGTTTGATGATCACATTTCAAGGACAAAGAAACCAAGCAAACTTTGGTCCCATTACTACATTGAGTACCAAGCAATGAGAATGTACAATCGCAAAATCTTCATCAAGTTTCAAGTTGAGTTGAAAAGAACAACTAGATTTCAAATAAATGAAGTAGAGAAGTTCAAAACTTATGAAGTTTTTTTGGCATTGAATCAAAATATTCAAGTAATCAGAAGAAGGAAGTACCTTGTTATTGTGGACTTGGAAAAGGAGGATTTCAACTGCATTTGCTCAAAGTTTGAGAAAGATGGACTTCTATGCTGCCATGTATTGAAAGTAATGCTCCACCTCAATGCAATGAAGATACCAGAAAAATATATTATTGAAAGATGGACAAAAAAAGAGTACAAAGGTCTTGAGGGAAAAGGCAATGGAAATATACCTTTAGCACAGAGCTCAATCCTGAGATTCAACATTTTGTCAAGGAAAAGTGCAGAAATAGCATCAAATGGATCGAAAAGCTATGAAACTTTCCAGTTTGTAGTGGAAGAGATGGACAAAATTGCTAAACAATTGGAATTATTGTGTTCAAATAAAGATGCTGAGCAGGAGATCAATGATTCAGATCCAAATGCAGAAGACAATTTGAACTCACATGAAAAAGGCAATCAACAATCTGAGGAAAATATAGATGAAATATTGTTGGATCTAGATATTGCAAAATCCAAAGGCAGGCCAACTCAAAGATACAAGACAATCAGGGAAGAAATACAGCAAAAAGAACTATATCATTGCAGTCATTGTCAGAGGACAGATCACACATTTCCAACGTGCCCTCTGAAACACGTTGAGTTTGACTTGCCAAGGAAGAAGAGAAGAAAGGTTAAAAATACAAGAGAACAGGTAACAAAAATTACAAATCCATATGAATTGAATTTTTTTAAAAAAGTAATAAAGAAAGATATTATTTGTTGCAGGATGGTGTAGAGCAGAAAAAGAAAGATGTTTCAAACAAAAGAAAAGATTTGCAACAAGATATATCACAGGAGAAGCATAATTCTGGGGCTGAATTAGAAGGCAAAAAGAAGAGAAATTCATCTTCATCAAAAAGGGGTGGCACAAAAGAATAGAAATGGAAATGACTGAAAATAGAGAGAGGTTTACTTGAATACAATGGAAATAGACATATTCCATAAGTTTCTGTAATATTCTAGAACATGTACTCTGGTTTGTACTTAAATGTTTGTTTCTTATATCAACTACATTTTATGAACTACTTTGCATTTTATCTACCACATGAGTTTATGTACAGTTGTAGCCCTGCAAAAGTTGCCAACTGTCATATTTGAACAAACAAAATTTATTCCAGAATCAATTTCCCTACAAATAAAAAGAGATATAAAAATATAAGGACTAAATAAAAAACAAAATTGTGAAAAAAATAATGATTCTAAAAAAAATTTACCTGAGCAAAGTCAATCACTAGTTTCTTTGTTCCTGTACCGAGAACAGAATTGTCTGGATAGAAGAAAAGACGGTTGACATATTGAATCCTAATGTTTTGAATGTCTTTTTGAGAGAAATGGTTTGTCAGCTGAACTCTTGGACCCCATAGTTCCATGTATTTTAGAGTAAAAACTCCGCAATCAAAACTAGGAAAAAGAAAAAGGACATAAGTAACCACAGTTACTTATCATAAAAAATAAAACAAACAAAAAAAAATTAAAAAAAGCTAATGCAGTTATGGTCATACTATTTACTCTGTAAATTTACTAATGAAATCTATTGCAATTCTAGTCCATGTTGTACTAAGAAACAGGCTCTTATCCCATCTAGTAATTCTGAATGAAACAATTGACAAATAGGAACTAAATTTTTTGAATGATAATCATAACAAACAAACTAAAATTGTGCATTAACAGCAAAACAAACAGGTTATGCAACAATTAGAAAAACAGAATAGTCAAGAATTTCTGAATGACCAACAGAACATACAAGATTCCTGTCAACAAGAGAACAATTGGGCATCTGTACAACTCTAACCAACAAAAACAAACAAATAAAAAATATTATTGGACTAAAAGTTACAGTAAAGAAAAACAACTTACAGATTATTTTGGCGAGGTACTGGTGGATATACAATTTTGAAAGCATCAAAATTGATTTGATATTCTTCCATGATGGAATTCCAAGCAAGTGCAAAATTGGATGTCTACAAAACATAAAAAGAAAACTCTGTAATTATAAATTCCAAATCACAAATTGAACAGTAATACATATATTTAAAAATTTGAAAATAAACTGACCAATCTATTCTTAACTTCATCTTGATATTCAGAACCTTCTTCATGTAATGAGTCAAGAAAGACAAACATTTCATCTTTCAGATGAACAATGAAAACAAACCAGTGGCGCTTGTAGAGAATTGGAAAGAAGAGCTGAAACAATTAAATAAAACAAATTATAAATGTAAAAGGAAATATGAAATTAAATATGACAAGTAATTTACAAATTCACAAACCATTTGGATTTTGAGGGGTGAGATAAATGAAACAAATATCGGCAGAACACAGAGACAACAAAATTAGAAACTTCATGTCCAAAATTAAATGATCCTCCAAAAGAACTGAATTTGCAGTGAACACCATCAATTTCAACTGCATGTCGTCTACATTCAGAATACAAATAAATTCAAATTACAAATCATACATTGAAAATGAAGATTATTAGAAAAAAAAGTACAAAATAGTACTTACTCTTGATATCTGCTTGTTGATAGAGTGCAGACAGCATTATAAATTTGTCTTTCATATTGTGAGACTGTGAAGTTTGATCTTTGAGGAGTATAAGGATCTGTGCAATACTTTGCGGGATTGATTACCCTTCTAAGATCGTGATGAATTGGTTTTGTTCCAGAAGTACTTGGATTGAAATTCTTCATGTTGCATAACAAAACTCTTTCTGGACTAGCAAAGGTTTTGAAGTTTTGTTTCTGAGAATCCAACATAATTCTATTCATTTTATTGTACATCATGTTGGTTTTGTTTCCAATATCAGCACATTTCTTAGAGAATTTCTTTTCACCAATAAAAACAACATCAGGTGAATCCTGAAATTTAACAAATAAATTAAATAGTACAGTTAGAAACATATTAAAAAAAGAAGATCAAAATAACTAGAAATAAAAAATAATAATTATTAGCTTATAACCAGAACAGAAAAATGATAAATAAAAGTAAGGTATAGGGCATGGAATATTTGAAATATCAATATGAAATAACAGTTAAGCAAATAAACTAGTGATGTTCAACAGCAAACTTACAAACTTGAGATTATAAATTGAATAAAAAGAAATGAATAAGCAGTGAGAAGAAAAACCTTTTGGAATAAAAAAAGAAAGAATGTATGTTATTACTAGAACTGAAATACATTGTAACCTACAAGAATTACAGCAAAACTATGGAGAACAATAATGCAAAAATGGAATTAGAAAAATTTTTAAACACCATTTAATTTCAAAAAGGGAACATCAATGAAAATAAACTATGAGATTATTCATACCTTTATGATGTGACAACCTTTTTCATTTTCTTTGTTTTCATTGAGAGAAGCATTAGGAGAAGTTGAATTTTCAAGTGTCACCATGTACATCTTATCCTAAAATTTTAAAATTTAACAAATGAAAGTTTAGTTTGTATATACAGAAGAAATAAAGAAAGAAATTAATGTCAGAATTACCGGACTGTCTGAACAGATTATTAGGCTTTCAACAGCAGCAGCAAAAGTTTGAGACAACTTTCTTGGAGTGATCTGCAAGATTTGTATAAATCAATATAATGTTCTAAAAAAGTATTCCTTATGAAATTTGAAGTTACTTCACAAGTACCTTATTTCTTAAAACATGATTTGGGGAGTATGAATCAGGAATAACTTGATATGAATCTGCAAGATGAGCAGTTGTAATTTCTTTTTTGAAATCATCATTTTCATGATGGAGGTCATCATCAGAACCCCAGATTTTAAAAGACGGTTGATCATGAAAAACTTGATTGTTTCGAGCTACAGCAATAACATAAGAATTAGAAACAAAAAATATGGCAACAAAAAGTAAGAGGACCATAGTACAGTGCACTAAAATCACATGACAAAAGAAATGAAATATTACAATAACTCAATTTTTTTGATGCTAGAACAATTAAAGATATACAAGTAAAAACAAATGAGATTCCATTAAAAAAAATTTACCAGTCAAGGCAGAATTTTTCTCTGTTTCATCTGGTGGATTAATAGGAACATGACCTTCAATGTTAAATAGGCACAAACATCAATAATTCATATTTAATTTTTTAAAAAACAGATTAACAAATTTAGAAAAAAAAATAACCTGTTTTGTTCAACTTTGTCATTATTTCATCAATGTTGATATGTTTAATCTGCACAGATAAAAAATGACAGTTAAAAACTATCAACAATTACAGTTCTATATATTCAGATTATAATGATTGAAATAAAAATGAAAGAAAAACCTCTTCTGAAGAATTCAAAATGGTAGACTTATTCACAGGATTAAATTCTTCATTTGGAATTGGCAACTTATCATCATCTAGTACTGTTTTACTGTTTCCCTACAAAAAAAAATAAAAGGACAAAAAAATGCTTAATGATTCACATGACTATTAGAATAAAAAAAATTGAAATGAGAACAGAAAACAATGTACCTTTGGAGATGAGGTGAAATTGTTATTTTTTTGCACAGCTTGATTAACATCATCATTATTTTCTTCAACTGGTTCATGATCTGGTTCAATTCCTTAATTTAAAATTTATAAAAAAAATCAAGACATATGAATGGAAAAAAATTAAAAATAAAATAAACAACAAAATTCGTAAATTAAAAGTAATAACCTGAATTTTCATGTGTAGTAGGTTGAGTAGGATAATTGGAACTGCAATCAGCTAACAACAACAGAACATCTATAAGAAGTTTCTTAGCCTTGTCTTCAAAGATTTCATCTTCTTTTCCAAAATGATTACAGAGCAAATGACAAATTTTGTCTTGAACATCACTTGGCAACAGATCACCAACAGAACTTTTGAGCATATCAGCAAATGAAGATGAGCTATTATTCACCTAAAAAATTAAAACAGAATTTTCAATTCCAATCTAAGAAAATTTATTAGAACTTGAAAAGATAAAAAATTTGAAAAAAAAACTAAACATTTACCATTTGGTAACAAGTTGAAGCAATATCATTGACTGGTCTTTTTCCATACACTCCTTCAGATATTTTATCAAATTTGGAATAGTCCTTAATCATAGATCTTTTCCAAACTTTAATTCTTGGTGTATCAAGTAATACTTTTTGTGAACCAAAGTTGAGAAAATCCAGGTAATTAACCTATGAAACATTGAATATAGAAATTAAATGAATAGTCATTTAGTACAAAATATAAATTAGCATAAATGGAGGGAAAAAAATTTACCGCTAAATGGAATAAACAACCACCAAAAGTTTTCGATTTCTCAATCTTGCTAATGTGTTCCATCAACCAGTCAAAACCTAACTTGCACCAGTCCAAACTTTCAATTAAGTCCATGTCTTCAAAGGCACTTAGGTATTTTGTACCTGGAATCAAAGAAGAGTTTGGACAAAGGAAGCAATTCAAGGAAACAATCATAAAGCAGATGAGAATTTGATCATCAGGAAATTCTTCATTTTTAATTAACTTTTCTCCAATGAACTTGACAGAAGGAATAGAAGTTTTCCCAAAAATCTGAAGAATCTTTTGTTTGCCAGAATCAAATTTTGAATGGATTGTACTACCACCAACAGGGAGGCCTAGCACAACATGGACAGATTGCTTGTTCAATGGAATAAGTTTTTGGCCCAAAACTATATCAGAACAGTTCACATCTACTTGTTTTGCAATCCAGAGAGCAAAAGAATTGGGAACAAAACACTTGTCAAATAGCAGCATGCTTTGAAAACAAGAATTTTCAATGACTGTTTTGTGATGTGGACTTAAAGAATCAAGAACTTTTGAGAAATATTTGACTGAGAATCTAGAGAATGCATCAGACTTCAAATCAGTGTCAACATTTTTGTCCTGACAAAAAGAAAATAAAACAATTTAATCAATAAATAAAAACCAAACATAGATATAAAAGGGCATTGCAAAAAACTAACCTTAAAATTTTGATCACCTATGTTGTGATGAATATTAAGCTTTTTTTTCAAACTGTTGATAATTTGATCCCTTTGTATGATATCACGTAGAACCTGATTTATCATTACATCATTGTCCAATTCAATAGATTCAGACCATTTCATCTAAAAAAAATTCAAAATTAAAAACAAGAATGATGGAAAAATATAAAATGAAAAATAACAAACAAAATAATTACCTTAATGTTATCATCTTCACTTCTTTTAGACTTACTGAGTTTCCTTTTCAAAGTTTTCAGAAGTTCATTTGTAGAAATTTCATTTACATGTGGTTGTGAAACATCCATATCCTAAAAAAACATATTAAACAATTAAAACATTGCAAATGTGCTATGAAACATGGCTACAACAGAGCTACAACTGCATACTAATGAAAAAAATAATGAAAGAATAATGGATACTATTCTGACCTTGGAACAACATGACAATTCAAGAACAAATAAAACAAGAAAATATTGGTCCTACTATTACATTGGCTACCAAGCAATGAGAATGTATAATTGCAAACTCTTCATGAATTTACAAATGGAAATGAAAAGAACAACTATATTACAAATCAATGAAATTGAAATGTAAAATAAACTTACATGACTGGCTGAGTTATCATCAGAATCACAATTGTAATCATCATCTTTAGCAGGCAAAGACTCAGAATTAATATCATCAGATTCACTTATGGGCTGGCTACAATTATCCAATTTTGAACGCTTTTGGTGAACCATCTATTAAAAATAGCAATAAAAAATCAATAAAGTTTGGCAGACTATAAATTATAAAATAAGTGAAGGTATGCATTAAAAAAAAGATATATATAATTCCTCAGAAATTGACCACTTTATTCAGGAAAAAAATGAACATTACTTAAACATGGCAAACGAACAAAATTAACTCCCAGTACAATATATACGTTGGTTAGTACTTTCAACTTGTAAGTCAAATGTTATAGTATATCTCCATGTCCTCACAAATATATGCAAAGAGGTCCACACTATGATAAAAAGTCAAACAATCTCACAAACTTAAGCCCTGTACACCTGATTCACACTAGGGAACATGACCATTCCACAGTTGGTCTATGCAGAGGCACGCAATCCAATGAATCCAGTCTACTACAAACATTAGCAGTAGAACCGACACAAATGGCGTCTAAATCCCTAAAGGGGAAGAAATGTTAGACCTAAGTACATAAACACGAGTCCAATAACAAAAATGGGGTTTGCACTAGAGTGTAATCCAGTCTACTACAAACATTATGAACAGCTACAAAAAGACATCCAAATCCCACAAGGCTAACAAATTTGCATAGATCATAAAGTTCTCAATAAACTAGCGTAACAAAATCAATTAACCTGCCTGCCTGCCCTAACTTAACATAAATTAAATTAAGGGGCTGTCTATATAGGAATCGAATGATCTATATAAGTTAAAACCTATATTGATCTACACTTCAGATCAATATCTCAGGCTTCATATTTCTAGCTTACATTTGAGTACACACAAAGAACTAGAAAACAAAATACAACGTGGATATAGTACTTATGTAGCAATAGTAATACAACACACAACTAAATCACACACATCATCATGATGCAAAGTTTCTGAATCTGTACAACAGTTCTTTTGATGACCCATCTAATAATTAAAACAAAGGGAGAGAGACAAAAAAAAAGCACAAGGAGTTATTATAAGGATGCACATATTAGAAGCAATGGAAAAAATGAAATGAGAAATAGAACATTGCATAGCACACAGGGAAAATAGAAACATAATCAATACATAAATCACAGCAATAATTCACTATCAGATCTACAGCTAACAATAATTCATCAGCTAGCAAGCTAAACAAATAGTTGAAGACTACAAATAAAGTACAAATAGTCAGAGATACAAAATAATGCAACACAAACTTCTATAAATCCAAACATGAGCAAACTTCTTCACAAACATCATTCAAAACAAATCACACGCATCTACTAAAATAGCAACTCGCAGATTCAACAAATCACAACCTAACATCCGGAGAACAAGGGAGCAACTATAGAATCAACTCAAATTCCCATGGGAAAAACTAGATCTAACTTTACACATCACAGATCACATAGCACAATTCGTAAATCACATATCACATATCACAGATCACACATCACACATCACATAAACGAAACTTTCTAGAACATCGCATAGCACAAATTTATGAACAAATATATCACAGAAACCTAAAAAAAATCACAAAAGCAAAATCGAACACGAATCATGGGGATTCAATGAAACAAACACCGAAACAAAAGGTGCTCAGATCTACGAAAACTAGAATGACTAGTACTACAGAATCAACGAAACACAACATGTAGCATGCTAAATAGGAGATGGAAATGAACAAAAAAGAAAAAAAAAACAAAAAGGAAAGCCACTGGAATAATCTTGCGCAATCGACGGCGCGACACCTCCGCAACAGCAGCAGACGCCGAGTCGACTCGCCGAAGAGCAGCCTCGTCGCCTCGCTAAATCGCCACCGCGTCGCCGGAGACGATGAGAACGAGACGACGAAATCGTCAACCTCTCCTTCTATAACTCTCTCTCTCTCTCCATCGGCAAAAGCACAACTAGCGGAGCAAAACAACAACGAATCGAGCAGCAAGCTAACAAATGAAGCTAGAGAAGAATCAAAACATACTCACCGGAGAAAAAGAGGAGAAGGAGCTCGAGGACAAGATGGAGAAGCCCACACCGCAAACTCCAGTGGAATCACCGCCGCGACGTAGCCTGCATGAATCCACACCGCGGCGTAGCTTACGCCGCGTCGTCGCTTCCCGGAGTCGCCGACGAAATCTCCGCCGAAATCGCCGGACGAGACGACGAGGAAAAAGGCAAAAAGCAAAATGAATCTCTCACTCTCTCTCTCTAGTCTGATTCAGACAATCTCTCTCTCCGGTGCGGATTTCAAAATTTGAATAGTGTATGTGGGTCCCACCATTAACACTCTCTCACAAAAAAATCTCTCTCTGTCGGCAACACAAAGTGGGTCCCACAAAAATGTAAAAAAAAAAAGAAGCCCATTTAGCCCACGTATGGAAGCCCGAACTTACAATAATCAAAAGCCCACATACAAAAGAAAACAAAAGTTTAGATAGCACGAATCTCAAACAAAATCCAAGGGACCAAAAAACGAATGATACAGCCCAACAAAAACATGCGACAGCCATATAGCCTTTCCGTTTAGTTTATATATGGGCTATTTAATTGGGCCAAGTAAGCCTACATTGTTGAAATGGGCTACTTTTACAAGGAAATTCACATTGCAGGGTCCCGCCAGATCACCCATGGCCAGGTTGGTTACAACCCGTTCCTTCCCCGGAAAATTGCCACCCCTACTAGCT